TATTATGAAAATAGTTTTGATCTTAGACCACCTCCACACCCAAAAGGGTATCAGGGATCCCAAGGGCCCCAGAGGCCATACTTTGAGGAACACTGATGTAATAATAATGCTCACAGCACTGAGAATCTTTACCTGCTGGAGATTGCTATTCTTAGGGTAAGTACCTCTTCCTTCAGATGTCTTAGGTATCTTTCCAATCCTTCACCCAACAAAAGCACCTAGTATGCATCAGGCTCTTTGTTAGGGAATTAACAAAGAATAAGATACAATCTTTATTCTCCAAGAGTTTTCTTGGGCAGTTTGGGGACCAAAGGCAGAAAATAAGTAAGGAACTATAATGTAAGATAAGAATTTCTTAAAAAGAATAATGTTAAAGGTGATAGACAACAAAGGGAATGCTGAACTGTATATCTAACTTTGAACTCGAGCCACGTGACAAAATCCTCACCAAATCAATCAGTCGCCAGGTCCTTTCTTCCATCAAATCTCTTAAAAATGTCCAAGTTAATTGCCTTTGGAAATGTGTCACACATAATTGAGCTTGGCTCCAGGCATTGTAGTTTTATGCTTGGACATGCAGTGCTGTTTCCCTTTAGCCTTCATGCTTCTCTATTTCATATTTACAAGTGTGTAGCCTTGTGCCAGTGTAGCTGATAACGCATGCTTTTTTCCTTGTCCTCATCTTTAAATATAAGCTTTTACCTGCTTTAGTCATGCGTTGGGTGATGTAACAGTGTTGGTTTTACTTGGGGTGCCGTCGCCACTCACAAGTTATATGTGGACAATGTACCCAAAGGCTGCTGGGGAAAGACCTTTTCTCAGACAGAAGGCTTGTAAGAGCCGCCGTTCTGTTTCCCTATGGTCTCCATCCCCACGATCTGCAGAACGTTCGTCTTCAGTGAACGGAGTGAAACTTCCTTGAGGGGATTTCCATAAAAAGCTGAATCCCGCCTCGGTCATCAATGACAAAAGTCAGACACGTGTTCTCCCGTCCGGAAGCCAGCAGTAACTTTTACCGAAGGCGCTGTCTCAGGAAACCCCCCTGCTCAGAACAAACAACCCTGTTAAAACTTAAGTCTTTTAACAGAAAAAAAAATAAAAGCATAGACGGGAGAGTGAGAAAGGCTTTTCCCTCCGTGGCGGTGATGAGGGATGTTAAAGAAGCTCCAAAAAGTGCGGGGAACTCATATTCCTTTCCCCGTTCCTCGGCTGAAGGGCTGGGAGAAGGGCAAGGGAGAGTCTGGCCCTTTAAGGAGGAGGGACGGACCGAAGACTCGGTACCTTAAGAGTCTCTTTGTCTGGAAACCTCCTTATTTACCCCTCTTGTGCTTCAATCAAACTTCGGTTCCTAGCGTCCCGCCACGCCGCCGCCCCTCACGCGGGGCTCAGTTGGCCTTCGGTCCCGGCTGACCCTAAACTTTGCGCCCGCGGCGCGAACCCTGCGAGCCGACGCCTTCGCCGGGGTCTGGGCCCAGCGCTGCGCCGTTGGCGCAATGCAGGGGCCGGGGGCGGGGCTCCGGCGCGCGGACCAATAGGCGGGGAGGGGGCGGGGCCGAGCGCGGTTGTCTCGCCCCGGTGACAGCTCGCGCGTGCAGACGATGGCGGTAAATAGAGGGGGGGGCCGGTGGAGGAAGGGGTGGAGGTGGTGGGGAGGCGGCCGAGGGGGGGGGTAGCTCCAGGGGGTGGGGGAGACGGGGGCCGGGGCGGCCAGGGAGCCCATTCCAAGACTCGGAGGCGGGGACAGGAGTCTCCGGCTCACTGGCCCTCCCCTTTAAAGAAGCAAAATCCTCACGCCGGGTGAGGGGCGACAAAGGCGGCGCGCGCCTCGCGGGCGGGAGGAGCGGCGGCGGGGGCGGGGCCGCGGCGCCGGCGGCCGGAGCGCCCGGGGCGGGGGCCGGCGGGAGGCGGGAGACCGGAGACCGCGGTCCGGTCCGGGCGCGCCGGCGCTGGGTTTAGGCGGGGTGGGCGACGGCTGGGTTTGGGTCCGAGCCTTGAGGAGGAGAGAGGAAGGCTGGCTTGAGGGGCGGTTGCGGGGAACGGGTCTGAGAATGACATGAGGATTGAAGGGAGTGAGGGTTAGACGAAGGCGGGAGAAAAGCCAGCCTGGGAGGCAGGAGGAGGCAGGAACCGGGGAGGGTGTTAGGGAAGCCGGGCGAGGAGTGAGGCTGGAAGACCGCGTCTGGGAGAGCCGCCCCGGGGTTAAGGTGCAGGAGCAGAGCTCCGCGGGGGTTGGTGGTGGGGCGATGGGCACTGAGGTTGGAGTTGGGAGTGGGCGGCAGGGAGAGGCAGAGCTGGGGTGATAGTTGGGCGCAGAGGAGAGAGAGGGAGTGATTAAGAGCCAGACGTGACGAGGGTGTGAACTAGTGCAGGGCGGGATGAGCTGAAGGACTGGGACCGGCGGTGGGCGGGAACTGCGAGGGTCTGAGAAAGGTAACGGGTCAGTGGCGGGCGATGGGTGCACATTCTTGAAAGTGAAAGAGGGGGACTGAAACACTGGACTGGTCCCAGGTGGAGTTAGGACTGAGAGCGTATTGGGATGGTGCAGGGCCATAGAGATGAGAGCCAGGACGTTTATAGGACAACTCGGGGACCAGAAAAGCCGAAAGGAAAGAGAGGACGGGTGTAAGAAGTGATGGCGGTGTGGGACAGGGTAACTGCGGAATTGTGGTCATGGATGAGGTTCAGCAAGAGCCGAGGTAAACGTAGTGAAGAGGAGAGATGGGGCTGAGAGCAGAGGGTGAGAGGAGCCAGGCAGAGGCGGCCCGGGGTTTAAATGGTGAGAAGGGGAGTAAGGGAAGAGCACAGGGTTCAGGAAAAGCAGAGGAACCCTGATGGATGCAGAGCTGGGGTGTAGTGCAGAGGCGGGGAAGCAAATGTGCATGTTGTGGGGAGATAGTCCAGAAGGTCTGCATGGGTCAGGGCACAGATGCCCTAGTGAAGGACCAAGTGTAGGGAGCCTTTGGTCCAGAAGAGGAGGCACCATGGTGAGTGAAGAGACCAGAGACAGGGGTACAAACTAAGTGGAGTGGGGAGGAATTCTTTGTTGAGAAGAGGCCGTGTTGAAACTGTCTGGAGTCCTTTTGTCCATAAAAGTAGGAAATTTCAGAAACGTCTTTCTCTCTTCAAGGGATTTTGAATCTGCTTCTGCCTTTCATTGTTTTTAATTTGACTTTTATGTCCACTTGGAAGAGATGAGACTCGTTTTGATTTGATATTGTTCTTGTCTGAATGATAAAGCATCAACTCGCTGCCGAAAACCTCTGCATTTCACTGGGGTTGTGATCTCGGGAAAACGGGGCGCATTTTTTTTTTTTTTTTTTAAACAGGGTGGCTGTGCCTGTGTGGTGTGACAGTGCTGTGTTGTTGCTGACAAGCCCTGGGCCAGCAGAGTGCTTTATCCACGGTATTTTCATTGCCAGTGGAGAGCCCGCTGTTAGTGAGATAAAGATGAAGATCTTTTTGTTTTGACAAATAGCCAGATTTCTACCTCTCTGTGCTTGGTGGCTGGAGAATACAGAAAAATCATTTCAGAAAGAGGCAAATGACCGACTAGGGAAGTTTGCTGAGGAAGAGATTAAATCAGGGCTATGAAGGCTTTGAGTTCCTGAGCTGCTTTTAGCTTTGTGTGGGACATTTCAAAGGATGGGAGGAGGCATCCATTTAGCAAAATGAAATAAAGACAGGGAGATTTGTAGAGTAGTAAAGGATTTTGGAATAGGACTTCTTTTTTAGGTTAAATAATGAATTTGTGAGTAGTTTTTGTCATGGAGAAAACCTCTAATATGATGCAAACTGGAGCCTTGGACAGCTCACTACTCTCCTATTTTGTAGGTGTGACTAAAGAAAGCCAATATTGATATTAACTTTACAGAAGATTTTATTTTTAAGACACTTTGGGAAATTAAAGGAAGATAAGAATTTGAGACAAAATTTAGGTTATTTTTACTATTGGATGATTTTTAGTCTGAAGGTCTTACATTTAGCTAAGACTACGAATGATTATACTTAACGGTGCTAAAGGATAGAATAGAATTTACTTTAAAAAATGCAAACTGTTCTTGAGAATCTTATTTGAGGATATTTCATTAGTATACATTGAGATACACAAAGATATTTTTTTTTCAAAGGCAGGTAAATTCTTTGGAGTACTACCATTTTGTGGGTGTTTGTGTAAAAGCAAAGATTAGGTTAAAGGCATTTGTAATAGCAAAGATTTGATTTTGATTTGTGGATATTAGAAACATTGGTTGTTAATATATATAAATAACTTAGAATCTTAAATCTTTCTGAATTCAGCTGCTAACTGTATTCATGGATTGTGGATTCTGTTAAGCAGGTGTTCAAGGTGACTAGATTGATTTAGCACTTTAACAGGATTTTTAAAAATTACTATTTTTGCTGCTAAATTTCAAGAAGATTAATCTTAAATATTAACTTTCAAGCTGAAGAGTAACTTTGATATGAGGTGTGTGTTTCTGTGAGATGTGTGTGAGAATTTCTTTCTTTATAGATGTGTTGGGCTGGAGTTACTAGTAAAATGGTATTGCCATTTTAATAATGTAATTGTTTTATACTGTGTTCTCACATAAATTATTTTAGACTTAATAATATTGGTAAAGAAGAAGATATAAGGTGTAAGAACCACCAAGGAGAAGATTCTGGCTCAGTCCTGTCTTTTGTTTCTGTCTGCTGCCATAGTGTGCTAAATCATCAATTCTCTGTGAATGGTTATTTCTTACTTCACACTCCTACAACTGAAAATGGATCATCTTTTAGTTCAGCTGATACTATTTATCAGTAATAATTCTGGTGATAAATTAAAGCTTTATTTTCATTTGTTCATCAAGTAGAATTCTATTCAAGTTAACTTTATTTTGTTTATAATCATATTTGCTAAGCAAAAACTTTTAAGTTTATATTTTCAGATTTGAGTAAGTAGGTTATACATTTAATTATGTCTTTCTGGTTAATTGTAGATCCTTTGGATGGGACGAAAACTTGAAAGGACCTCTAGTTTATCCAGCAACTTCAGTCAATATCCCACTTAAATCAACCCAGGTAGATAAAGATTTATGCTATTTTTATAAATCTTCAGAGGTAATGTGGCAACCTTTGTAGATAACCTTTTCCAGCATTTAATTATATTCTTTATAAGGAGAGTCTGCTTTCTATCTAACCAGCACACACTTAAAACTATATTTACATTTGTTCTCTTGTCTCATTCTCAATTTTTGAGTGAAAATATCTGCTTATTAAAGTATTAAGAAGATGCTAGTTCTTCATAAACTTAATAATACCGTAGTAGCTGCTATCTTTAGTGTTTTTGTATCAGACATGGTTGTAAACTCTTTACAGATTATAACTGGTTTACTCCTCACATCAGTCCTATGAGATTGGCACTATTCCTGTTCCCATTTGCAGGTGAAGAAATAGAGGCTCCTTGAGATTAAGTGATTTGCCCAAGGTTATACTCAGATAATCTTTTAGTACAAGTAACATTTGGAGTTTTTCTTTTGCCAAGTAGTAACTAAATGATACATTTAATCTTTTTTTCTTCTTCAATAGTTCCTAAGGGAGATTTCTACCAAGTGGTGGGGGATAGGATTCCAATGTTGGCATGTTGCTGGCAAAGTGTGTGCTCTCATTCATTGTGCTTTGTCTCTTCTTGACTGCTGTGAAGTTATCCTTTACCATGCCCTTATCCAGATTACACAGTACTGGTTTATTTTAATCCCTTAATGTGTCTTGTTTGCCAATCCTTAAATTATCCCTTTGGTTCTGTTATTAACTGTTTCTCAGTTCCTTTCTAGATGGGGAACCTGAGACAAACACCCTAAGGGTTATATCTAATGCAAAGATTACATCAAGATTCTAACATACTCCTAATTTTTCATTATATAAAAAGACTAATAGCATTGCAGATTAATGATGATTTTTTTTAGCTAGAAAAGGGTCCTGGACCTGTTATATATCGTACAGGTTTGTAGACTCTTGCTGACATTTTACTATCTTCTGTTTGTTTGCCGGTATAAATAATGTACTAAGTACATTTATACATGCTTTAATTTGGTTAAGTAAATTGATGCATTCATTTTTATAAAATTAAGACTTTATTATTTTTTAATCTTCACCCAAGTATATATTTATTGATTTTTTTTTTCTTTTTGGAGAGAAACATGAATGTGAGAGAAAACATCAATTAGTTGCCTTCTGTACGTGCCCTGACCAGGGATCGAACCTGCAACCTAGAAGTGAGCCCTGACTGGGAATCATTCCCGCAACCTTTTTTGGTGTGTGGGACAATGATGCTCCAATCACCTGAGCCACCCAGTCAAGGCAAAACTTTAGGTTCACAGAAAATTGAGGGGAAGATATAGAGATTTACTTGTTATTTACCCTCTGCCCACACACATGCACAGCCACCCCCATTATCAGCATCCCCCACCTAGTGGTTCATTTAGTACAAATGATCCATTCTTTTAAAAAGATACTTAGCCTTAGCTGGTGTGGTTTAGTGGATAGAGCATCAGCCTGTGGACTGAAGGGTCCTGGGTTTGATCCGGTCAAGGGCATGTACCTTGGTTGCGGGCAAATCTTCAGTAGGGGGTGTGCAGGAGGCAGCCCATCAATGATTCTCTCATCATTGATGTTTCTATCTCTTCCTTTCCCTTTCTCTCTGAAATCAATAAAATAAAATAAATAAATAAAATAAATAAATAAAAAGATACCTAATAATTAGCATGAATAATTTTAACTGGTTAAAACTTGACAACCCTATTAGGGAAAATCTGTCGTTAATAACTTGATTGTTTTGGGTGACTTAAAAAAATTTTTTTAAAATGTTTTAGACATACAGAAAAGTTACAAAACTGGAACATGGAACTTCTATATACCCTTATTTAAAATCATCAGTTGTTTTTGTTTTATTATTTTATCTCACTTGAGTATTTCTAAACTAGTAAATTTAAAAAGGAAATGGATATGAAGGCCTTAATATTTAAAAGAGAGGGGAAAATGTCTTGAGTGTATCAGCAAGCAGGTACTGGTATGTATTTTATTTTAGTCAAGCATGTGAAGCAAAAGAATCAGAGTGGGTTTTCTGCTATTATGATTTGTTTTCTTCTATTCGGAAAAACATTCTTTTACCTATGAATGATGAGTTTGTAGGCCCTTCCCACATCAATAAAAACTGTGTCACGATGTACCTCTCTGTTGGGGGCCTGGCAGGTGTGCTCACACATGAGTGGGTCCTCAGGATATACTAAGTATTGATGGTGTGTGGGAGGTTATTATGTGAAAACAGAAGCCACAGAATTGTTCAACACTATGCCTAAGGTATATTCTATAGATCCTTTTGTAGCTTTAGGAGATGGAAAAGATCTAAGTGGAAAATGTATAAGACCATTGGTTGTAATTATACTGATAGGTTTGCCTTATGGTAAGGGAATGAATATAAAAATATTGTGACATTCTATTATCTCCCCCCAAATAACCTACATTTGGGGAGTCTTTTCAGTTGTCATATAAGGAGATTTAATTGACCCCCATCTCCACTGCCACCTTCCAACTCATTCTCAGTCTTTATTATTAAAATGGTAGCTTGTCCTTTTGGTAAAGGTATGTCCTGCAGAATGAGCCCTGTCTGGTTTTAGTGAAAAGATTATTAGCTGTACTCTGTCAGATGTAAATTACAGCACTTGTAAGCCTTTTTTTCCTTTCTCCCACTTTAAGTGATCATCAAACTGATGAAATATACCTTCTTATTACAGTTGATTGTCATAATTAAAAACACTTTGCTTTCATAAAGGTGATAAAATTACAAATTATTTGGAAAGCATTCTTCCCAGTCAGGCATTATTGTTTCTTAGGCATGGTCAGTTTTTAAAGACTATAACACTGTTCCTTTGCCATTTACATGTTAATAGAAGCCTGAAAAGTAAGGCGCTCTTCTGAAATGTTCGGGGTTGTTTTTATTATGTGTCATGTTGTAAACAGCATTCTGTGACAGGTACTTTCTCTCTTTGTCTTCTACTGAGCTAATTAGTAATTTACACTCTATAGCATCTCTTCCAGCCTCCCTGTGTGAAAACGCCTGCTACTCTGTGCCTTCCGTGCAGCGTGGCTGGCAAGTGATTGGGGGCAGATGTTGGTTAGCATATCAGAAAGATTAAGGCTAAAATCTATTTTTGTGTTTTTAATAAATGCAGGCTTTTGGATATGTCCCTTCCCTGCCCCTTCCCCTCCCCCATATTTAAGTAGGAATGTTATGACCTCCTGTAATCCAGAGCAGCAGTCCTTGATTCAACTTTGAACTTTTCTATTCTGTCCCCACACACACCTTGTGGGATGTGGGGAGGATTAGCAGAACAGTTTGGCGTGGTTTGCAGCCCAGAAAGCTGATCTTCAGTCGTCCCTCCCATTGTCACAATACAGAGCTTCTTGTCATTGTCTTTATAACCCAACCGTCCTTCTTTGGCTGGGCCTGGTAAGTGAGGGGTGGCAGGGCAGCACTGTTGCTATGAGTTAGGAAAGTACTTTTATAGAACACTCGTATTCCTCCAGAGGCATGCCAGGCCCTGCTTTGTATCAGCTTTTTCAAAATGCAGCCCAGAGTGACTGAAAGATAATTTATTGCTTGGCTTTAGCACTCTGTCACATTGGTGTTCTGCTCTTTCCTGCCCCCTGGCCTATCTCTTCCAGTCTCTGCCACATGAGAAAGGTGATGTGTAGTATCCGTCATGTGCTCATTTGGATAGGCTTCGTGGGCATATTAAAGTAGCAAAACTTTGACTTTGGAAAAAGTTGTAAGGATCGGTTTGTTTAGTGAGGAATATAATTTTAATTGAGAATTAAAGGAATGGTAGAAATGGGTTTAGTGATTTATTAGTTTTGAGCCAGAACCTTTCTAGTGTGCTAGATAATTTGTGGTACTTATTTTTTCAGTTATAGATGCTAACTTATCAGGATAATAAGGTCAGAGTCCCTGTTAGAATTAATTAGGGTCCTCCCGACAAAAAATTGTTGCCTGGAGATAGCCACAAAGAAAATCAGGTGAGAAAGTGTGAGAAAAGCTCAGTTAAGCCATCATTGCTAGTAGCATTATAATCATAGACATCTAGCTTTTGACAGTGCATCAGCATTCAAGGACATTGCATGTGTGTAAGCATTCATAGCGTATGTGGGTCTATATGTTTCCCTCACATTTACTTCTTTCAATGTTCTAATACAACAACCTATATTATTGTCCTAATTATGTTGGGAGTTCATGGCTAGATACTAATTACATTCTTGCTTTAAGAGTGTAATTAGATAAAAGGTCAAAGGTCAGATTAATAAGCAACATAAAAAATCGAGGGGACTGATCACACAAAGAGATGTTATAAGTAAAGATGAAAAAGTTAATATATGACTGGAATTGAGTATACTCTTTTAAAAGAAACATTTTTTAAATGGATGGTATAGCTTGAAGAACTGACAACAATACATTTCACTTGAAAGATACATGTGCTTTTATGAAGAAATCAAACCATTTGTGGTTGGCTTCATTGTGTACTCCATGCTAAAAATTCCAAATTGGTTAAACATTACCAGTCTCCCCAATTATATTGTTAATGTGCTTCTTGAATACTTTTTATTTTCATAGGCAGCTCAGCTTAATTTACAACTAATAGTAAATTCAAAAATCTATTTAAGCTGTAAAGTCAGTAATCCTAATCATTTAAATAAATATAAAACAAAACATATAATTACTATTTTTTGCCTATTAGATTGAAAGATTAAACAAGTTGATGATAGCCAGTAGTGAATGAGGATGTGGAGAAATTGGAGGTTTCATACACTGTTGGTGGGAATGTAAGTTTCTTTGGAGATAAATTTAACAGTGCCTATTGGAATTTAAAATGTGTGAACCCTGTCACCGAGTAATTCCACTTCTAGACATTTGTCCTATGGATAATATTCATACACTTCCATGGAAACTGTAGTACAGCTTTCTTTATAGCATTGTTCGTTATAGTAAAAAATGAAGTTCCTCACTCAGGAGATTTGTTTAATTATGT